GGGCCTCTGCTGGGCCTGGCCCCAGGAGAGCTGGGTGGCCGTGACTAATTCCCCAGCATGTGGTATGACTCAGCGCTGGCCTTCTGACTGACCATGGCTCAGGACACGTGGCCACCCCTCCACTAACCCTGGTGCTTTGAGCTGACTGGACCTTGGTTAGGCTGACGCTGGCGTCCCCTGGCCTCTGGAGTATGGCTCTCCAGACTCTGTGAAGTGTTCCCTTTCCTGGTCTCTGGCCTCTGTGTTCTCTGTCCTGGCCTGTAGAGTGTGGCCCTCCAACTGGAGGTGGGAATGTGGCCTGGGAAGCAGGGAGCTCGAGCCTGTCAAGTCTTTTTTCTCGTGAGAGGTTTGTGAACACTACACTCTAGACTAAGAGGTAGAGGTGGAGTGAATGCCCACAAAAGCTGAACCTGGTTTTCTGGAAGTTCTAGTCCCTTTGCTCAAGAGATGAGCCTATTTCTAGGTAGAAGGGGGCTTCTTTGGTGGCCTAGCCAGTCACTGTGGAGGTTCCCAAAGCTGTAAGTACCCTTTCCCCCATTGATTTGGCTGACATTTGTCGTGGTCACCTGACTACTAGAAAACCACTAAAAGCTCTCTGGAATGAAGCAGGTGACTCAGGGACTACAGACAAACCTGGCTTTGCAACCTGAGCTGGTTTGGGCCTCAGTTTCCCTGTTTGTTAAATGGAAATTACATTGTTGTGCGGGACAAATCAGCTTTATACCTACCAATATTTGTCTTCACTTTGTATCAGGCACCTCCCATGTGCCACCTCCCACATCCTATATATTAATTCAACTAATATTTGGATTCCTACGGAGTGAGCCCTTGGAACATCAGCTGTGAAGGAGGCAGACCAGGTACTTGCCCTCTGGAGCTCATAGCCTTTGCAGAGATCAGCACTGTAAGGCTCACGGGCTAAATCTGGCCCGCTATTTGGTTTTGGTAGATAAAGTTTTATTGAAACACAGCCATACGTATTCATTTATGTATTGTCTACAGCTGTTTTCAAGCTATAATGGCAATGTTGAGTAGCAGCAACAGAGACATAGGGCCCGCAAAACCTGAAATATTTCCTCTCTGATCCTTTATAGAAAAATGTGCTGATCGCTGCTCTGTTCTAGTAGAACAGGCAGGCTGCAATAGAGGTAAATAAGAGAATCTCTGACAGTGCTAAATGCTGCAAAGGAACAAGGTAATTGGATACAGTGACTGGGGGGGGGAGGTAGTAGTGGGGGAGACATGGTGAGGGGTTGCTTCCAGGTAGTTAGGGGATCAGGGGAAAGCCTCAGGGTGTCAGCAAACTTTGAGCTCTGCGAATCTCCCAGAAGAGTGGCTGGTCAGAAGCAGCAGCAAAGGCAAAGGCCCTGGGGCATGGAAGAGCTTGAAAGACTGAAAGTGGGTCAAAAAAGCTACAGCTCAGTGATGGGGAATGAGACGCATCCAGGCAGGGCCCTGTAAATGGAGTAAAATGCTTAGATGTTTAGTTCAAGGGCAATGGGAAGTTTCAGTGGGGAAGAGGAAAATGGCATGTTCTGATTTTTCCTTTCCTTTTCTTTCCCTTTCCTTTCTCTCTTCCTTTTTCTTTCTTTCTTTCTTTTCTTTCTTCTTCTTTCTGTTTCTTCTCTCTGGATGCAGTGGTCTGGGCATTCAGAGAGGAGGCTGGAATAGTCCAGGTGAGTGATGATGGCAGTCTGGGCTGGGGTGGTGGCAGAGTGGACGAGTGGAAGGTCCTGGGTTGTATTTCGGAAGAACCAATGGAGATCCCTCATGTTTTGCATGTGAGGAGAAGAGAGGAATTAGAGATGGTACCTGGCTTTTTGGTTCCGAGCAACTCGAGAGCAGATCCAGCTGTGTGGGAAGTCCAGCTTTGGCACTAACTTGCTGAGAGCCTTTTGGCAAATCTTTATGTCCCTGAGCCCTTGCTCCATCTGTAAAATGGGTCTATCACCCCTTGGCAAAGGGGTTATAAAGATAATCCACCTAATGCAGAGCCTCCAATAAACACAGTGCTCTCCCGTGAGCTGAAGCCCCTGAACAGGTCTGCTCATCTGTCTCTCCACCCTCCCCTGTCCTGTGAGCACCCCTTTTCCTAAGGTGGGTGGGTTAGGGGCCCATATGCTGACTTCTGACAGGTATATGGGACTTGAGCCTCACTCTGTCTGGCCAGCCTGTCTTCTATCTGCCACCTCTTTTCTGCCACCCTACCCTTCAGTATAGTTCCCTCAATGCTGTCCCTTTGGCTTCATAGGGCCTGACAGCTCACCAACCTGGAGTCACTGTTTTGCATTCAGGCTCTAGAGCTAAAGACACCTGGATTAATGGTCCCTGCTGCTTCTGAGTCTGTGATCTTGAGTAAGCAGTCTCTGAGTCAGGCTCCTTTGTAACAAATATCCAAGGCCACAGGAAATGGGGTCCTGATATAGCCCTTCATGCTTGTTAAGGATTAAATTAAGTAATTCCTCTAAAGAGCCTGGCAAGTACATAAGTACTGATTAAATATTAAATTAATAGCTATTAACTTTAATCCTATTAATATTTCAGTCCTTCTGGATCCATGTGTGGGTAACCCATAGCAACCAGAGGGTCTGAGGTCCAATTCTGGCCAGGCCAACCCCTCCCTACCAGCTGTTGGGGAACCTAGTTTATATGTGTGTTTACAAACACATTCACTTGTAAATTTTGTAATATAAAAATATACCATAATTTATAACTGTGTTCTGGTGCTTTTTTGTTGTTGTGACAAAGTACTCTTTTTTTTTTAAACTTGTTAATGGTTTATTTTTTATTGTGGGTTTGTTTTTTACAGCTGGGTAAAAAACACCCAGCATTTATCTTCTTAGCCATTCTTTTTTTTTTTTTTAAAGATTTTTTGTGTGTGTGTGTGTGTAAATTGGGGAATTGGTGGAGGGAAACAGCGTTGGGGAATCCGGAAAGGGGAACAGACAATTTGCTGTCCCTTTGTTCTTCAGTTCAGTTGTGGGGGATGTCGGTTCACTGGCCCATGTTGGTATTATTGTTGCGCTCTTCCTGGGTGAGGCAGTCGCTTGCTAGCCATTGGACGGCCCCTCACAGCGGCTCACAAATGCGCACGCCCACTGCCGGCCAGCCCCACCGCAGCCTACGCTTGTCGCCAGCAACTCACAGTAGTCGAGCTCCAGGTTGAGATGTTGTTCACCATCTTAGCTGTAGAGGGCACAGCATCACTGGCCTTACATGTGGGATCCGAGCTGGGGCCCTGCTGCTCAAAGCTGGCATCCCAAGCCAACTCCCAACAACACGCCACTCGGCCGGCCCTTCTTAGCCATTCTTAGGTGGACAATAAAGTAATGTTAACTGCATGTACTTT